GTACCTCAAAGTTTGGTGCAAAAACGCATGATCGCACCGGCTCGCCTGGTGCGTTCCAGCCTGGATAAATGTAACTGGAAGGCCGCCATTAAAAAAGTCAGCTTGAAATAAATGTGAACGACGAGTTTAAAACCGAGCAAAATAGAAACATAAAAAGTAAGAAACACAGAATTTGAGAAGTGGCATTGATCAAACGCAAACGGTTACTGTTAAGAAACAGAACCATCCCTACATTTCACTTTGAGGAATGAAAATATTTAGAAGTAGTTCGAGCAACAGCATTTGCTTGACAGCGACCATTCATTGGGATGACTTTCGATGGCTTCGCCTTTCGCTTAAGGATTACTTAGAAATAGCCAAATATGGCTTGATTCTCTGGTACGCGCAGCTTTACCAACAAAACAAATTATAAAGAGAGGGTTGAACCGTCAAAGTCTGACGGAAAGGCTGTTCGCTGCTATACCAGGCAGTGTTCAAGATATTAAAGCATTAAGGGTTAAAGAAACCGCGCGCACCTCACCACTGAAATCTTTCACATCGAACAACATTTTCATGTTGTTTTCGCAGCAATATTCCACCGCTGCCTTGAGTGTCGGAATACGGTAAATTTTTGACTGCGAACGGTTATTACTAAAACCAATAAAAAAACTGAATGCAAAATATCGTATAAGAGCCAAATACTGCGCCATTTTCCATGTTTCTGATCCAGTAGGCACTTAATTAAAGCTGAGGACACAATATCAAGTACTATGTCAAGCGTAAAAAATATCTCCGTGCCTATGAGAGAGAAATCCAATTATCGGTAGTGTCGCTCGCTTTGCTGACAATCCTAGACATTGCGCTTCAGTAAATGAGACAGTTAGTAAAGCCCGTCTCGGCTCTGTTCGACTGCGCCGATACATTTATTTGTGATTTGAATGCGATTACGAAACCTGTAGTCTTACACAAGTACTGGTTTTTATGCGTTTTTGTACATGTGCAAATGTAAAAACGCATATTATGACGACCCGTAGTATATGTATGTTTGTGTGTGCGTGGGGGTGTGTGTGTCTGTCTGCTCGAGTATTTCAACTCTGCAACAATGCAACCTCTGGTGCTAAAATTTTGCCAGTGGCCAACTGCCACCCCAGGACCGCAGTATCAACTTTTACACACGGCTAGGTCCTGCGTATGAGCGCGTGAAAATTTTGGCGGGAAAATTGCTAATTCGGGAAGAGAAGCTGGACAGCCGAAATTTTAAACGGTTGTTCTCAGTCCAGATACAACATAAGGTTTTCAAGTTCGGCCTTCAGGTACGCTTGGTACGC